ATGCAGCTTCCATCTAAGTAGGCATGGTTAGTTTTGCAGCCATAGATGGGTTTCTGATGGGTCATTAGCCACTTCATTAACTTTGGCTTCAAGGTGTCACACGACTCTTTGGGTGTTTTGCTGCAAAAGACTAAGAGGGCTACTTCTCTGAAAATTCATTAACTTTGAAAGGGAACACATAGGTAAGGTAATTGATTTGCAAATATCTGCTGATGGCCAAGATACATTTGTGTGCTATGTAAAAAAACAAAAACAAAACTGTATTTCCATATCAGTGAACAATAAAATGGAAGGCAAATGCTTGAAAAAACAAAACGGCTTGCAGCAGAACAGAAAATACCTGAAGTGTGAATGACTGACACAATGGACCGAAGCAGGTTTGTACATCCCTATTTATTATTAAAAGGCTATTGTGCTGCTTGATGGAAGATATGATTAGCATGCCATCAAATGATAATTGCAGCCCCAGCCCCTGTGCAAGGTCACAGGCACAGGTAATGCCCACACCACGCTTATTTGTGGGACTGAGCAAGGCTGAGCTAGAGGTGTAAGGCGCCTCTGGATATCTGGTGTCAGTCTCCTTGGAATCCTACATATCTTTAGGGATGGATAACCTCAGCATCAGGATGGCTTCCTGCGCTAGTACATGGATGTCTGATGGAGATAAAAGGATACCAGGAACATGTCCCTTTTTTGTGCAGCTCTGTGTGTCACAGCATCCAACCTGGAATGCATCCGGCTGCCATGTGGCGGTGCGAAAGGATTAAACACGTTGCGCGTCCATGCACAGGCAATGAAGAATCAGGACCCTCCTATCTCTGGCGCCAGCTTCCAAGGCAGTTTGTCAGGCAGGAAACTCGTTACAGAATGCCTGTGTGTTCCTTATATTAGGCTGTAGGCTATAAAAGTTAAGAGTCCATAGCTATCCATCTCAACACCTTGGCTTAATCCCTGTGCACTGGTGAGGGTGGACAGAATACGAAGACAAGAAGAGTATGTTAGCAGGCTAGTGCAGAAGAAAGATAAAGAAGAGATCTGTTTGAGAGTCAGACAGCTCTGGGGATTTAGCTTTTAATGCCTTTGATATATTATGTAAATCTTTTTTCATCTGGGGTTGTTGTTATTTTGAACTTTACATTTTATTAATTGATATCATAATGCAAAACTTGAAGAAAGGGGAAGGGGATTTAGCTGTGTGCACAAGAACCACAGACAGGCTTTCTGTATACATTATCATCACCAATGTATATAAAAGCCAGCTCTGAGAATTATGTCGTGCTCCAGGGCTGTCATGCTGGAGCGTGACCAAGAGACATTACTCAGGGAACCAACAGGGGGGAGTAGCACACACACATGCACAAGCACACACAAACACACAACAAACAGAACTAGCAACAGAATGGGAAACAGAAGTGGGGGCATCTCCTAGCCTCTGTCCCCGTTCAAAAGAATCTTCCGAATTTGAAGCATAGGAAATGCATTGGGGAATTCTCAGCTGAGTAACTCTTAGATCCTGGCCCCGTGAACATTCGTATTAATCAGAAAGGGCAAAGTATCTTGAGGGCTTTCCTTTTCAATACTGAATCACAGTGAATTATTGATCTCTGCATTCTCCTGCTACTCGCTCCTTTTTACCGAGGAGGGAAGATGACGACTAAAATTCTTATAAAGTGAGATTTATTCTCCCACTTCTTCCCATGTATCACTTCTTCCCAGATTTACAAGAAGTTTCTATTTAGTATGTCTTATTCCCATGTCTTTCCAACATCGTCTGGAAAAGTAGAAATATATATATAGAGAGAGAGAGAAATATATGTGGCTCTGGCTGCCTACTGTTCACGGACTGTTCACACAAGGGACAAGTCCACTGTCCATGACAATTTACTGGTGCACTTAGAACAGGATTGGGGGCAGAAGCCCAGGGTCCCACACAGCAGAATGAGCAACTCACAGCAGGGCTGGCTTATTTTGAATTGTGAAGGAATACCCACTAAATTGAGGAGGAGTGGCTGTAAGACCAAAGTCCAGAATCTAATGTAACCTAATGGCACTGCTGTGTCCATCCATCCAAACCTTTCCCATCCATTGAACATTGGAAGGGCGACTGTATCTAGAACTGTCAGATCTCTGGAGTTGGTCCTGAGACTTAGGTTTGGGGAATCGATTCTCAGTGCCAAAGGGTGGCAAATTAAACCTCGGGGCTGTCAGCTGCTGCACACTTGATTCTTTTTTTCAAAGTGTGCGCCCTGCTGATTGAAACCTGTGCTATACAATCTCTGCACATGCATAGCCACATGAAACTGTGCTGATGGGGGTAAACTTAGAAGACTTTCATCAAAATATTGGAGGGGAACTTCTGGCAGGGAACTTCAGACTGGTTTCTCAAGCTCAGTGGGCCCATGAGTTCATTTACAGAGCAATCCTACACATAATAATAATAATAATAATAATAATAATAATAATAATAAATAAAATATTATTATTATTTATACTCCGCCCATCTGGCTGAGTTTGCCCGGACACTCTGGGCGGCTTCCAATCAAGTGTTAAAAACAATACAGCATTAAATATTAAAAACTTCCCTAAACAGGGCTGCCTTCAGATGTCTTTTAAAAAGAAGATAGCTGCTTATTTCTTTCACATCTGAAGGGAGGGCATTCCACAGGGCAGGCGCCACTACTGAGAAGACCCTCTGTCTGGTTCCCTGTAACCTCACTTCTTGCAATGAGGGAACCGCCAGAAGGCCCTCGGCACTGGTTCTCAGTGTCCAGGCTCCACGATGGGTGGAGACACTCCTTCAGGTATACAGGACTGAGGCCGTTTAGAGCTTTAAAGGTCAGCACCAACACTTTGAATTGTGCTCGGAAATGTGCTGGGAGCCAATGCAGATCTACTCAGAAGAAAGCCCCACTTTGTTTTCAATTAGACATTCCCTGATAAGTGTATTTAGGACTGCAGCCTTCATTTGTTTTTATTATGCAGTAGCTTCTACTAGCTCTCAGTTGAGCCACTCACACATTTCCAAAGGGCCATCATGCTATGGAGGCTGAGGCAGAATGGCAAATGGAGCCCTGCCCCACCAGCCTCAGTCTACGTTCAGCCAGCCCCCACATGCCTGAATTTTTATTGCACAACTACTGAGGGGGTGGATCTGCTTGTCCTTGGTTCTAGCACCACCTACTGTTGGTCTCCCTGTCTTCTAGCCTGTCAGTCTCAGTGGGTACCATCTACCACTGCCATCATGTCAAAACTGAAGCTGATGGCTTTGCCTAGAACCTAGAGAATTTGGAGAATATTCTTTGTGCTAAGTGCTCCTCCCTGGCTCCTCCAGCTAAAGAGGTTCTGAGATAGTAGGGCTTGGCCATACCTGTGCTTAAGACCTGTTGCCAGTTAAAGTAGACAATTTTAAGCTAGATGTACTGGTGTGCTGACTGGGTAAGTCAACATCATATTTCATATGAAGTGTGCATTAGACCTTCATTTTACACCAATAAATGGTATGGGGTACTTAATTAAATCCACAAGACTCAATCTCTGACTCGCTCCAAGTTCAGCCAAAATCATGTTGCACTCCCACAGTTTGACCCGTATTTTGAGCACTGATTCTATGAAAAATCTGGTGGAATTCGCAGGGTGCATTGTTGCAACAGAAGCCCACTGATTTCTGTGGCATACTGCAGGGGGTTGGAGAAGATGATTCTCGTAGTCCCCTCTGACCCTAAACTTCTATGATTCTATGGTTCTATATGTCCAATGCAGCATTAAGTAAGCGGCCCATCTGCACAAGGATTCCCACATGCACAATGAGACTTTCCCCCTCCCATCCCCCTGTGCACCCCCTAATCTAACTTCCCAGAGCAGATTTGGGATGTGCATGGGCGGGGGGGGGGGGTCCCCAGTGCACAATCAGTAATCTCTGCACTGGTGGGACGCTTGCTTAGCATGGCACTGGATACAAGCCTATAGAATTTAGCATTGTTGCAACTATGCTTAAAAACCATGAATTTAGCCTTCCTCACACACAAAAACAACCCACATTATATGAAGTGAGTTCAGTGTCCTAGAAGGCATCTCCAACAGGAAAACACTTGAAATTCTTTTTCATTAAAAGGATGATTCCGAATCTTTAGTTCTTGTGCCATGTTTTTCCCCTATTGTTGCTTTTAAAAAAATATGAACGCTTCTACCATTCTCAAATCTTTGAGAGTAGAGTCTCAGAGACAAAATAATAAGATTCATGCTGAAACCATGAGAGCTGTGGAACTTATTTGTTTTGTCCCTATTCACAGTCATCCAAAGAACACTCAGGCTATGGATGCATTGCATTTTTGAATGCAGCTACTGTGGCTCCCCAATTACAGTTCAAAGCAAAGTAACCGCTCCCAATTTGAATGCCTGTTCCAGTCTGCAGACTAGGAACAGGAAGATTCTATTTGCTGTTGGGAGTAGGTGAGGAAAAGAAGAAGGCTAGATTAAATCCATTCACAAATAACAAGATTTGCATGCTAAACACCTGCAAGCTGCTTTGGTATTTCACTTCCCTGAATGAAAAAGCAACATCCATGACTTTTAAAAGAAAGAAAGAAAAGTACAGAATGAATGAATTCCACAAAGATAAAAATGTTAAGTTGGCCTACTGCCGGCTCTGAAAGAAATAGACTTTTTTACATACACATTTTTCTACTATTATGCCTCTCTTCTGAAGAGAGGCAACAACAGACTTAGTGCAGTTTCTTTTGGAAGTTTCACTTTCAATTTAGTGGTAGCTAATGTGACCATTGTCCATGCTGGCTGGGACTATATTTCAACAACACCTGGAGAGGATAATTCAAAATGTTGGTGTTGAGCTTTAAAGCTCTAAAACACCCTCAGCCCCATATACCTGAAAGAGTGGCTCCACCCCCATCGTTCAGCCTGGACACTGAAGTCCAGCTTTGAGGGCCTTCTGGTGGTTCACTCACTGCAAGTGAGACATATTGGGAAGTTTTAAATGTTTGATGTTGGAAGCCGCCCAGAGTGGCTGGGACAGCCCCATCAGGTGGGCAGGGTAATAATTATTATTATTATTATTATTATTATTATTATTATTATTATTAATACCCCGCCCATCTAGCTGGGTTTTCCCAGCCACTCTGGGAAGCTCCCAACCGAATATTAAAGACACGATAAAACATCAAACATTAAAACCTTCCCTAAACAGGGCTGCCTTCAGGTGTCTTCTAAAAGTCAGATAGTTGTTTATTTCCTTGACATCTGATGGGAAGGCGTTCCACAGGGCGGGCGCCACTACCAAGAAAGCCCTCTGTCTGGTTCCCTGTAACTTCAGTTTTCACAGTGAGGGAACCTCCAGAAAGCTCTCAGAGCTGGACCTCAGTGGATCACCTTGACTACCTGTGATTTTGTATTTAATTCATTCTTTTCTGCTTGCAGCTGTTTAGACAGAAGTGTGCTTACCTAGCCATCAGCAATGCAAGTGGGGTGCTTTTGTGAACACCTCATAAAAGCATAAGAAGAGATCCTGCTCTGCTGTGACCAAGGAGGGAGCTTGTTGACCAGCAGCTGGCACTTGGGAGGCTGTAGTTAAACAGGATTTAGGTCAGTCATGATTGGCAAGGTTGTTCAGGGGATGACTTCAATACATAGGGGTTTAGTGAGTACTCAGAAACACCATTAAGTTCAGACGGGAGTTATGGAGCTTTTATTTGAGGGATGCGAGACCCAGTCGGCTCGGTATGGGCTCCCTTTGGGGCCAACCTGGGTTACCTGGGGGAGCTTTGGAGCCTTAGGGTGTGCCTTTGGAAGGACTTCCTCAATACCTGAACAGGTGTGGTCATTGAGGAAAGGCCAATGGACGTAACTGTCCCTAAACCCCACATTGGCTATTTCACTGTAGTGAGTTAATAATTGAGCCCACACATATTACCATATTTTTCCATGTATAAGACTATATTTTTTTCCTAAATTTTTGAAGTTTAAAATGAGGGGTTGTCTTATACAGGGATAGTGCATAGTGCATTTTCTTAATTTTGAGTCCCCAAAAATAGGGGGCGTCTTATACATGGGGGCGTGTTATATACGGAAAAATACGGTAGGTTGCAGTTATTGCTGTAAATTACAGTTAACAAGCAGTATTCAACTAATCCGTTATGTCAGTGCAAGGCTTCCTGCTTGCACGAAAGGACTCCCACCTCTCCTCTCCCTGTGCACAGTCCCATACCTTTGATCCAACAATGGATCAAAATAATACTGAGTTGATCTTGAAATAAAATTACAGAAACTTATTAGGAGATTTTGACTGCCTAGGGGCCTCCAGCATTGCCTGTGCACAAGATGTTAGAATTCTTGCTCTGTGATTGCAGTCATGGGATTTTTGTCTATCACATGAAGGTGTATGTTTTGACTTCACAGAGTGGGAAGTGATGGAGACAGGATGTTTGTGTTACTGTTTCCGTGAAGTGGGACTATTGTCCTTTGTTCTTTCTCTTTGCTGTCTGATGCTAGAGACAGAGGGAGCCATGTTGCAGTGCTCCGTGTGTGTTTATATGTAAATAACGCAGATTAGCCAAAATGCTGAGTTGCTGAGGTCTGTTACGCAAACTGCGAACACTCTGCGGATCCCTAAGTGTGCCGGTGTCTGTTGGCATCAGTCGCTGTGATGTTCGGGCTGAAGAAAGCTTTTGAAACTCCCGAATGATCGACCAGGAGGGAGTGAACATGCCAGCCAGGCATGTGTCTCTACCAGAGTCCTACTCGAGTGTAGGACGAGCTCCTGACACACCCTGCACCCTCCCCAAATTTGAACCAGATGGTTGTGGGAAGCCTGAGAATGGATTTAGGGGCATATTGGGGGAAGAGGGGAGGAACTTTCTGTCATGCAAGTAGAAGTCCTCGTACTGATGGAATGTACACTTAGCACTATGTTGGATTCTACCCAATCCATTATGGCCCTAGTTAAGTCAACACTCTTATTCTTGGCTGCACTCCCAATAGCTTGGTTGCTTAACATTTCAAACAACCCTCCAGAATCTATGGGGGGGCACAGCCCAGACGAAAACACTGGTTCTGGGGCTGCATACACACTGTACCTTTAGAGCAGCTTCAAAGCACATTCCGCACCTCAAAGAATTCTGGACACTGTAGTTTGTTAAGGATGGCTGATAACTGTAATTCTGTGAGGGGTAAACTACAGTCCCCAGAATTCTTTGAAGGAGTAAATATTCATCAGGCATGCTTTAAAGGTACAGTGTGTACACAGCCTGGATACTATACAGACCCAAAGCAAAAGCATAGCTCTTAATCCAAGAGCTAAAGTGAAGAATGTCCTGCTTTCTTTTGACAGAAAACTGAATCACTAAATTCCAAGGTCAAGGGGAGAGCCAATATCTAAAAGCAGCACTACTGATGCCTGATATACTGAGTCTACCTGCCAGTCTGTGCGATGCAGCTTACTGTGGCTAGTGCCTCATACTTTTCATTTAAAGGCTGGGAGTGTGGCCAAATTCATTGTTTTTGTCCTTGTGGGGAAGCAGATGGATGGGCAGGAGGGAGTTGGATCAACAGATTCTGGGACTAACATAGACCAGTAAGGCAAGCAAAACAGATAGCAGATTCTGAGCAGCCAGAGAAGAGCAAACCCTCTTCTTACACAACTGATGAGCCCCTGAGACACACTAGGACCAGCATTCTCTCAGATATCAGAGATGGCTGCTTTTGTAAGGAGCTCTGGCAACTTAGGGCTCATCCACACTTCCTTTTGTGCTGTGCTTTCTAGGCACAGGTCTGGGATTTCCAAGTCTGTATGCAAGCAGGTTTTTGTTTTTCTTTGTCCTGGCACTTTCTCCAGGAAAACCCACATTCTATTGCTGAATCAGAGCAAATGGCAATTCATGGAAAACCTGATTGCCTTTGCTCTGGTAAAACACAGGTTTTACCTGTGACAAAAAAGAAACCAGTCTAAGATGGACCTGAAAATCCTGGACCTGAGCCTAGAAACACAACATAAAAGGATGTGTGGATGAACCTTTACTGATTGTTTCCATAGCAATAAAGAGGGGGATCCAACATCAGCAGCAGTTTGCAAATTTTGTGTGCGGAGAAATACAGGCACCTGCATGTGTGCATACTTCTGATTTATCTAGTACACATGCACACTAGTTTCATACAAATACATACATTTATGTAGACAACAATCCCTAACCACATAAAAATACTTCCTACCATATACACAAAAGTTTTATTTTGTTTTGGAGGCAAAGGGGGGGGGCAATATTTTCCTGCTCCCCATCTCTTGAATGTGTGCTTCAACAAGTGGATTTTGTGGTCGGTAACAAGGGCTGTTAAAATTCACTGCTTTTGTGCAATGTAATCTTCCAGAGTAGACCTTTATCAACTTTACTGAGGATCTTGCCTCCTCTGCTGAAATCCCTCCCCTACCTACAACTGAAATATGTCTTCTTCTTCTTCTTCTTCTTCTTCTTCTTCTTCTTCTTCTTCTTCTTCAGCGATCACTCATAGCCGAGTAAGATTGTCTTCCAAAAACACGGTTTTAACAGTGAGTCCGTAAGTGACTGTGGAGGCCAATTCTGGATCCACACATCCTTCCACAGTGGGGACATAGGCTTCCAGGCGGGAGTTGATCACAGTGAGGGTTTGCCAAGCATGCCTTCCTCTTAGCACGTTTCTCCGTTTCAACCTGAGTTCAAGTGTCTTCAAAGCCCATGACACGTTTGGTAAAGGCTGCTCTCCAATTGGAGTGCTCACAGGCCAGTGTTTCCCAGTTGTTATGAAATATGTAATGGCCCTTCCTCAACTTGAGGCATGTTTTCACTCACCCAGAAAGCTGAGAGCACCAGGGCATGTACTAGAGCAGGGGTAGGGAATCAGTAGCCCTCCATATATTGTTGGACTCCAACTCCCACCAGCCCCGTCCAGCATACCCAACTGGTCAGGGAAGAGGTTCCCAAAGTGGGTGGTACTGCCACCTGGGGGCTGTGTAGAACCTCTGGAGATATACCGTATTTTTCCTTCTATAAGACTAGGTTTTTCCCCCTAAGAAATAATGTCCAAAATTTAGGGGCATCTTATACATGGATAGATCTCCCCCCATTTTCTTAAATCAGAGCCCCCCAAAATAGGGGGCATCTTATACATGGGGGGAAAATAGGGGGCATCTTATAGACGGAAAAATACGGTAAATCACTATCAGAACTTGAAAAGCTGGTATCACTGGGTCAAGTTCATCAACCCTGCTGAATTAAACAAAACAGTTTTGAATTTTATTGTGTTATTATCTTCCTTAGTAGGCTGTGCAAACTGTATCGTTGTGGCAGTGTTGGATGTATGGCAGCGCAGGCAGTTGCACCACACAGGGTGCTGAACTAAGGGAGCGCAAAATTAAGAAGATCCATTTGGGGGCACAAAATTTTGGCCTCGCACAGGGCGCCATAATACAAAAGATTACCAAAGTCCACCCCTAGCAGGGGGCGCTGGGGATGAGTTTATGGAACCAAGGAAGCAATGGCACAGAAAAGTATGAGAACCACTGATCTAAAGGGCCACAACTTCCCCAGTCCTGCAGTAAAGAACCTGTCCTCCACCTTAATTCCTTGTCAGAACCTAAGCAAGTATGAAGAAGTGAAGTATCTTAGCTCGAGTTCACCACAAATACAAAGATCCCCAGTTCTGCCAAATATTAGTTCCATCATGCACGTCATGGCCCATTCAAAGAGCCTTGCATGGCCCAGGGAATGTGATCCCCAGCAGGGGAAGGCAGTGTCATGCTGGTTTAGCGGTATGTAATTCCATTAGCCTCTCAACCCTTGTTCTCTTTGCTTATCTGCTACGTGCTCAGCTCCGGCTCAAGCTAAGACTTTCACAGGGCTCACCACGCTACTTGGCAGAAAACCAAAAAATTGCCTTTTTACCTTCCTCTGCAAGGACTCCTGGGGATCACATCAATGGAGCTGCCAGAAAAGGATGGACTTAAAACCACCAACGCTATCAATAAATGATGGTTTTACAGGAAAGCTTGCTGACAGTCCTCCAAGGGCAGGTCCAAAATACTGGGTTGTTTTCTGCTCACTCCAATATCTTGCTCTGATCAAATCCCTGGCACAAGCGGAAGGCTGGATGCAGCCAATGACCTGCT